TACAACGTCGTTGCCAAGCGACGAAAACCCAACCCCGATGGCAAACACCGGGCCGACCACCGAGAGGGGCAGGGGGGGGGAGTCCAAAAAGAACAGATGTGAATCGACGGCCGGCGACACACAGAAAGAGGCGTTGCATCCGACAGCAGTAACCGTCATCACCGTCTCCCAGAAAATCAAGCACGGGAAGCTCCCTCAGTTCGATGAAGTGAAATTGAAACCCGATCCGTTCATACATTGTATGTATATCCATGGCAGGTTCCTGGACTAATTACACCCTGAAACTAGGACCGCATACCCCTCCCGGCATTTGTAGGGATGCGAGGCCAATGGCTTGACGACTACGGCATGCGCGGCTACGAGTACCCCCTGCCCCCGGCATGACCCTGAATCTGTCTCAGGGTGAGCGGGCGGGTGGTGTCTTCAATGTGCCTGGGGGCTGTGTTTACTATCATACCTGCCGGGCAGAAGCTTTGCGATCTCGGCCCACTGGTTCCCCAGGCTTCGGTGGTACTGGAAGATGATCAGGTCCTCCTCGGGCTTCCAGGCATCCTTACGTACGTCCGGGTTGAGGTGGTTGTGCCATCTGCAAAAGGAACAAGCAGAAAGGAAGAACAAAATATACTTACGATGTTGTCATGAATCGATCGTTCTCATTTGTTCTGCTCTCCTCTGGGCGTAATCGTTGTTGTTGTTGTTGTTGTTGTTGTTGTTGTTGTTGTTGTTGTTGTTGTTGTTGTTGTTGTTGCTGTTGTGGTGGTAGTAGTTGAGGGTGTTCGTCGTCGATGATATTTAGTGCTCTCCACGTTCCAAACGAATGATGATGCTGTAGCTGTTGTTAATGGTGGGTATCATGGTTGGTGCATGGGGGGGGCGATGTCTGAGGAAGTATGCTTGTTTGGAAATACTGATGCTGTCGCTCCCTGCTCCACGTATGCATTGCTGATCGGAGGCACGTCCACAAGTGTCGCCAGGGTGCCATTCACGCAAGCACCAGAAAAAACAAGGGAGAAAAAGGGCAAGAACGGGGCTTTGGACGTCCGTACCGGCGGTCTTCAAAGTATTTGAGGTTACTGAGCCAGCCACCGCTTTGTAGAAATCCCTCCTATTTACTAGTATAATCCCTTCTACTAACTATATAAATAGTATAGTGCGAGGGCGAAACACACAGAGACAGACGCAGAGACAGACAGAGAGGGACAGATTAGATACGCAGACAGCAGAGATATGACCGATGCGGGCTCTCACCTCTCCCGGCACTGCTTTCCGATCCTTCCCGGCAGATGCATGGCGATCACCGACCACCGTTTGGCGCCGTACTGCTCAACCAGCCTCATCAAAGAGTCGTCCTCCTGGAGAAGTGTGTGTGATACGTGAATTTTCTTGAATAACAAACATCGACGGCGCTAATCGGCTCACAAAAAACACACACACACAAACACATGTAATACGGAAGTGTCATTGACACATTTTTAGCCCTGCAGCAGGACACAAAACAAGCGAAACACGATTCATACATGTAGTCCGCGCCCCCATCCCCCCCCCTAGGGGGGCACCGATGTTTATGTTTCAGTACAACAACAAGTCGAGCAAACCGACGGGCCGATGAGAAAAACGTGTGCATACGTGCGGCGTTCTGTGTTTTCTTGCGTTTCTTCAAACGCCGGGGCAACTAACGATTTGATTCCCGGCAAGGAGAAAAATCACCAAGACTCCTTGACAAAACACTACACCACCCTCGCCAACAGCGCCAGAATCAACAGCAGCAGCAGCAGCAGCAGCAGCAGCAGCAGCAACAGCAACAGCAACAGCAGCGGCAACAACAACAGCAGCAACAGCAGCAGCGGGAGGTGCTCGTATCTCTCTCACGTCTCTCGACCAGGGGTTCTTGCTCAAGCTGTCTCCGTCCATACCACCTCCGTTCTCCGCCAAAACTGCCGCCGATGGCCTGACAGACGAGAGAAAATCATCAAGGCCAAGGGGGAGGTACTCATAGTCGTGCATGCCGTAGTCGTTAGACCATTGACCTCGCATCCCTACAAAGCCGGGACGGAGCACGCCGGGTTCTCACCGGACCAGGCTCTCACATCAC